GTATAATTTTTATTTTACGAATAAAAATTATCAGCTTTCCAGGAAACTTACAATGCTATTTAGTCTAATTACGTTGTTTGCCTACGCGAAATTGAATATAAAACGTGTCGTAAAGACTGTACGCAATGACTGTAATAAATTTATAATAATAAATGCAAATTAAATAAATGAAAGCAAAAAAGTTATAATTTTTCACCTTCATCATTAACTTTTTCTATTTTAAAAAAATATTAATGAATGCAACATTAGTAAAGAATTTGAAATCACTGAACAGCTTTGGTTCCTTGGATGCCATGAAGATGGACATCAATCCAAGCTCTCTGTAGCTGACGACAAAAAGTGGCAACTGCAGCAAAGAAAGCTTCCGGAATCTCGACACCAATATCATCATCCACAAATTCACCAAAATATCGCATTGTTTTGCAAAGAATTGTCTAAAAATTTCATTCCATTACATTTACATATTTACATGAATTAAATCAAAAGTAAAGATAACAAATTAACAATTAAATCTTATTTTCATTTATATTTGTATTATTTAAATAAATTATGATATATATTAATTTATACAATTTAAATATATACGTAATCTGACTTATTTATGGTATATGTTATTTATATAAGTTTGGTGTATATTATTTTATATAATTTTTGTGTACAAGCAAGTTTGATGTATATTATTTTATATAATTTTTGTATACAAGCATAAATGTGAATTATGTGAATTATTGATATTATTTATAGTATTTTTAATATTCATGTAAACAAATTACATAAAGTATACCTTGCATTCTTGAAAACTTTCTTTTACTTCTGTTACTTTATTTTTGATTGATTCCCGACAAGCACTCACGTGTCTTTCGCTATCCATGTAACTTACTTCACGATCAAATCGTAGATAATCCTGCTCAAGACGTCGTATAGTCACAGAAAGTTCTTGGAAGTTCACTAAATAAAGTTATGAATTTGTCATTTGAAGCTTATTTTTGAATAAATAATAATTATGGCATTCATTTTAAATTGCTCTCTCACTTATTTTATGTGTTGCGTTTTTTTTGAAAGCAAAGATTGATATATCAAGAATTGATTCCGCAAATTTGTCAAGTATAATATACCATAAAAGTACTTCCAAGAACATACCAGAAGAAAAATCCATTCTTATATGTATTTCTATCAGATTATTTGGATAAGAATATATTATCGCATATTTTTGATCTATTTGAAATAAAATATGTAACTTTTATATGCGAAAATTTTTCGATAAACCATCATCAGAACAGAAATATTTGAGAATATAATTTTTGCGTGTAAATAAAAAAATATTCATGTTAGCAAAGAATTCACCACGTGAAGCTTTTTCCAAAGCGGGTAAGGTATCACGAATCATGCAGACTTCTGTAAATTCTGAAATAGTGCATGAAGCAACAACATTCAGTAGCGTTGTCTTTGGTGAGCTACACACCTCAGTAGAGCATATCTGGAATGTAGTAACTTTATTCATGAAAATTTTTGAAATTAAGTTTAAAAGATTTTATTCAACCCTTACGTGGGTTTGCTATGAATAGCAGTACAAAAATTACGTGTGGTTCCATACTTTTGTGAGATCTGATATCCTAAAGCCTCGGCTTGTTTTAGCAGCGTAATCGCCAATGATAAAGTTTATGAAAACAAGAACGACACGTATTAATACGTGAAATCCACGATTTTTTCTTAACGCATTTGTTGCACTGATGAGATCTTCCAAGCTCTTCAATTAATTGAAGCATTATAGCATTTATAAATAATTTTATACAATATATTTGATGAAAAAAATAGAAAGGAAAAAAGATTCTTTTGGCATCCTAAATTATTAAGGTACAGCAACTAAATAAAGAAATAAAACTTTTCGATAAAATCATTTTTCAAGAAAAAAAATAATTCAAAGTTACAAGAATTACAGCTTAAAAATTTTCATATAACTCAAATAAATAAATAAATAATGTCAAAGAAATTAAAAGCATTAGATTTTAAAATATTGAATTTTATTTAAGTACGCAGCAGCTACCACAAATTAT